TTGAAACAGCTGTTAAGATTCAATAGTTCCATTTCTCATAAGGTTAACATGGGAAACTTCAGAGCCACTGGGGCGGAGCCCGAAAGGATTTTTGAAATAAGAATATGCCTATATGTTAATCGGGAATGTGAGCTATCATCATGCCAAATTTCAGCCCAATCCGACCAGTATTTTTCGCGTTCACTTGTCACAAACATACATCCATACATCCAAACTTTCTCATTTATAATATTAGTAGGATAATACTGTAGTCAATAACAACATACCTAACAATATCACAGAATCTGACTAAAGACGAGCAATTATGAAAGACTTTTGTTTAATATTTGCAAGGAACATGTGGTGTAAATAAATACGATTTTGTAATGAGACGATAAACTAGGGTTGCTTTCAGAGAGTTGAAAGCCAGTTGAGCGGAACAAACGTGATTTGATATTTGTATAAGTAACTAAATGTAAAAAAATCAATAGATGTATTAATGCTTGTTTTATTGATTAAAATTATAATAATTCAAATTTGTTTTTACTACATCTTGTTATTCAGACACCTCTTCCAGAAGTGCATTATGGTAGTTTTGACCAGGAAAATATTACAGTAGTTGGAATCTGATATTAACATCCAAAAAGGGCATTAAAGTATAAAAAAGAGAAAGGAAATTTAGCATTCAAATTCAACTGTAGCCTACAACAAGAACATTGGTCTTCATTTTTCACTCTTACAAACGGTTAAAGTATTTAAGTATAAAAAAACAGTAACTATTTAAAAAACGAGTATTAAAGTATAACATCAGGAGGGAAAATTTGACATTTAAATTCAACTGTGCAACATAAACATTGGTCTTCATTTCAACCCTTGCAATCGGTTAAACTCAGCTTTCTTTGCTGAAAATAATTTATGATTGTTAATATCAAGTATTCTTGATATGATTGTAATGTAACTCGAATGTAGGTCTTCCACCATTATTGGGACGATTTAGAGACGGCATTTTAATACTGGCCTTAATAAAACCATTGACCATTGGATACAGAAGATTTTGATGAAAAAGCTGGCTATAAATTTAACATGGGGATGGAATGTCTAGTTGTATTGTTAGTCAAAGATAAAACATAGGCCTACGAAAAATGTAGGGCTATTTCAATGCAAGACTCAATGTAAAACACCTTTAAAAGACTAAAATGAACTGAATAATTAATCATGTATTTCAATGTGTAAAAACGTAAAAACTGCAAAAAGACTAATTTATTAAACAATAAAATAAGATGGCTGAAATGTAGGCCTAAACATAAGTAATTTAAGTAAACATAGCATTCAGCTGATTTAAGTGAAAACAGAATAATAATAATAATAAGGGAAGACATGCCTTAAATATACAATGTAGATATAATATAATTAGAAATTAGTAGCCTACTTCTGGACAGGCCTAGATAATTATCCATACCGTGGTTAAAAGTGTACGCCCAGGTAATTAATTATTTGCTTATTATTACGGTTGTAACTGGACGTATGTATAGTCCGTGGCTTGGCAATCAAATAACAGTATTTATAAAGGATAGGCTACTGTTATCAACATTTGAAATTACTGAATTGTTACCAAATTACTGTTTCACAAAATGCAGATTCCATTTTCAGCCGAGCCATTAAAATGAGGATTTGCCGAACAATTATTAATATTACAGAATAGTATTTAATGATGTACAACTTTTCACATTTCATAAATTATATGTTAGTTTTGCTATGGGCAAAGGTCCAAATCCAAATGTTCTTTTCTTTTGGTTTTTATGTAGTAATTTGCTACAATCATTGACTTTATATAAAGTCAATGCTAGAATACAGTAGATGGTTTGTTAAGACCATATGCAAACATTTTTTAAATCGTTTCCCCGTTTAACCAACTATTCCAAAAGATAAAAATTATATGGTGCAACACAAATAAACAACTCGATCACCTACCTATAACCTACACTTTACCTTCCTAATCTAATCTTACTTCAAAACACCTAATGTAGTCACGAATACTCATAAACCCCGACCTTCCCCACATGCCTAAATTAGATCAGTGTTCAATCTGCGTTTTATTAATAAGTGTAATAACTTACTGCACCGTCGATGTAATTCAATATAATATAATCTGTGATGTATTATCGGATTAAATATCGATTTCGATGTGGTTCGATATATCGCTTATTAAATCCTGATTTCTAACATTGGCTGTTTCTAATCAGCTGGCAACACAAATAGGTTCCCAAGAAAGTAGTCACTGGTCCGTATCCCTCCGCTCCTTGTTTATGCTCCGCGCATTGAGAAAGTAGTTCCGTATATTTTCTCAATTTTCAGTGAATTCCGCGCCTTAAAAAAATGTTTTAACGGCATTTTCTTGTTTATTAAAACCATAGGAATGGTTTAAAAACGTTTAAAAGAAAAGTATAGAAAGTTCAGAAATACCTTATGGTTCTCTTGTTTAAATTTTTCTTGTAAACAAAAAAACTGTCATAGCTACCTTAGTCCCATAAGCCTAATGTTAAAAATTTGAAATTTTAAGTTCGTTTTAAATTGCATTAGCATTATCTAATTGAAATTTGTTTGTTTACAAACCATCTCATTATTAGTCTAAGTAGTCTTGTTAAGTTTGACTGAAATGTGTTTAGCCGTTATTGAGTGATGGTGTTATATTGTTTGCATTGAAGTTGATCCCAAGCTTCGCTCGCATCGCTCGCTCCGCTTAAAAAAGAATTTTATATTTAATAAGATTTTTTACCAACAAGGATATTGAAGAAATCAATAAACATAACACTCATGCACTATCTGCCTGCTGTAAATACGGTAAGACATTTTTTTACAAACACTTTATTAAAAAAGTGGCAACGGAAAAATCCATAATGCACTCGTCATGATTGTGGTTGCGTGCTATTTTATGGAAAGTAAATGTTTAAAGGGCTATACTTCTATTGATGATAGTTGAAACATGATTGAGGTATAAATAATACTGTCGTAAATCGTAGATCCATACCATAAGTATGGATCTACGATAGTTGTTTTAGATTTTGTAAATTACTAGTGTTGCAATATAAAGTCTAAGTGTATAGAAAATAGTCAAATTATATTAATTCTCATATCATGATTTTTTTCTTGGTTTTTATTTTTTCCTACCATGAAGTCATCTTTGAAAGCAATGGCATTGCTCGTTATGCTTCGGAGAAAAATGTTAAACCCTATAAAAATGCGCAATTCTCTCATGGACCCTCTTGTATGATAATATATTGTAGTATATGTACTTATAATGCGTTGAAACTTGAAATTCCTAAAAACACTTTTCATTATGAAATATATTGACGTAATTAAGAGTAATTAATGTTAATTATGTGTCTGATATGGATTTAGGATCATGGATTTAGGTGATTTATTAATTAATCCTTTTAAACCCCAATGAATAGCTATATTTTTTTATCTTTCAAAAGTAATATTTCAATTTAAATACATTACTAGTGTACCTGTTGCTCGAATTCGAGCAATTGCTAAGCATTACAGGCGACTCAAAGATTATGGAAATACTCACAATCTACACAACAGTTAGATATAATCAAAATCTTTTGTAAATATCTTATCTTTTTTCAAAACGCTGATCTTGTTTTTTTAGTGTTTTCTACAAATTGTTCCCTCTCATAGCTGCATTAGGTTGTCTAGGTTGTCTATGATAACGATTATAAATGAAAAAAAACATTATTTCTATTTCTTCTACTTGGTTGCGTTCTATGACTTTTTCTATGTTTCTATTGTTTGCAAATCGGTTATTTCAATGATAGCTCAAGAAATGTAGAACAGTGTTAATTCAGTTTTATTTTTAGCCTATATCAAATTGTCCAGTATTTCTCGCCCTTTTCCATTCTAATAATTACACCAACCCAAGTTTCGTCTGCAGATGCAATATGCCAACGAATATCACCTACGTACAATCTCCAAGAAGTGGTAAAAAAGGCAGAAACCAACCCATACAATAGATATAAGTTAACTCCAAAAGAAATATTTTTAAGAGTTACAGTGATATTAGGATTTTCCACTGATTTGGTAATAGAACATTATATTGCAAAACATGACACGATGCAGAAGAAAATCCATTTTAAAATCAGAAAACCCCATTACAAATACTGTACTTAATTTTGACAAATTCAATAAATCACAATTTAAATATTAACAGCTGTTTCATTAAAAAGTAGTGTAGAATTATGCATATGGTCGTAATGTAAACAAATCTGAAGAGGCAAATTTAAAGGCTTCTGGGGCAGAGCCCCAAGGAAATTTACCTCGTTCCTCTTTTGATGGCTCATCTACAGACCAAGACCTTTCTTTAGAGACCCCTACCAAGTTTTTACGCCCAGCCGCTCTCTCAAATTAGCTGTGACAAAAACCCTGTTTTCCTCCATAAGAATAACATGGGATGGGAATTCAAAGGCCACTGGGGCAGAGCCCCAAGGGAATTCACCATGTTTCTCGTTTGATGGCTCATCTACAGACCAAGACCTTTCTTTAGACACCTCTACCGAGTTTCTACGCCCAGCCGTTCTCTCAAAATAGCTGTGACAAAGAAAAACAGTTTCAAATTATATATAGATTACCAGTTATAAATTTATTACCCAAACTAATTGATGGTAGATAAAAACACTAAATTCTAATAGTGTGAATAGAATGTTATTACTTAGGACATGAACCTGTTGGAAGTGTTTTAATAACCCTAAATTTAAAACAAGAAACGACTAGAACAAACAAAGCCCGCACCCGTTTAAAGGGCTTTGCGCGCATGTCCCGAGTTGCCAACTTAATTGGTTTTCAGTTGATGCACAACCTTCGTTTGCTGTTCATCTGGTTTGAAATGTTTCATTAGTGTTTGCTAGTTTCAATATTGTGCGCTGCTGTCGCCGCCTCTCTCACCTGAACTGTTACAGGTTATGTGAAACTGGCATTTAATAGTCAATTGTAATTTATGTGTATGATAATGATTTCCAAAGTAACAGCGAAAATAACTTTTTTTAATACAACGGATTTAAATTATCATAGTGGGTGAAATAAAATGGATAAGTTTCAGTCTGTAAACCTTGAATGTTTAAATTCAAACGAACAACTGGAAGCGAGAGTAAAGTTGACATGTGATCGTAACAGCTGAGATGAGTGAAGGCCTGGTGACGATGGCGGTGGTGTTCGGGACAGGTTTCGTCATAGAGGGAGTCTTGTTCTTCATGTTGATCACCGAACTGATCACCTGCGAACACTTGGTCTGCTTCCTGCTGGGACTCGTCGTGTGCGCCGGAATCATCTCCTGGATCCTGCTGTGGATGAAAAGAGTGGTAAGACTACAGGTCTACTAATTGTAATCTATATATTAATTTGAAACTGTTTTTCTTTGTCACAGCTATTTTGAGAGAACGGCTGGGCGTAGAAACTCGGTAGAGGTGTCTAAAGAAAGGTCTTGGTCTGTAGATGAGCCATCAAACGAGAAACATGGTGAATTCCCTTGGGGCTCTGCCCCAGTGGCCTTTGAATTCCCATCCCATGTTATTCTTATGGAGGAAAACAGGGTTTTTGTCACAGCTAATTTGAGAGAGCGGCTGGGCGTAAAAACTTGGTAGGGGTCTCTAAAGAAAGGTCTTGGTCTGTAGATGAGCCATCAAAAGAGGAACGAGGTAAATTTCCTTGGGGCTCTGCCCCAGAAGCCTTTAAAGTTGCCTCTTCAGATTTGTTTACATTACGACCATATGCATAATTCTACACTACTTTTTAATGAAACAGCTGTTAATATTTAAATTGTGATTTATTGAATTTGTCAAAATTAAGTACAGTATTTGTAATGGGGTTTTCTGATTTTAAAATGGATTTTCTTCTGCATCGTGTCATGTTTTGCAATATAATGTTCTATTACCAAATCAGTGGAAAATCCTAATATCACTGTAACTCTTAAAAATATTTCTTTTGGAGTTAACTTATATCTATTGTATGGGTTGGTTTCTGCCTTTTTTACCACTTCTTGGAGATTGTACGTAGGTGATATTCGTTGGCATATTGCATCTGCAGACGAAACTTGGGTTGGTGTAATTATTAGAATGGAAAAGGGCGAGAAATACTGGACAATTTGATATAGGCTAAAAATAAAACTGAATTAACACTGTTCTACATTTCTTGAGCTATCATTGAAATAACGGATTTGCAAACAATAGAAACATAGAAAAAGTCATAGAACGCAACCAAGTAGAAGAAATAGAAATAATGTTTTTTTTTTCATTTATAATCGTTATCATAGACAACCTAGACAACCTAATGCAGCTATGAGAGGGAACAATTTGTAGAAAACACTAAAAAAACAAGATCAGCGTTTTGAAAAAAGATAAGATATTTACAAAAGATTTTGATTATATCTAACTGTTGTGTAGATTGTGAGTATTTCCATAATCTTTGAGTCGCCTGTAATGCTTAGCAATTGCTCGAATTCGAGCAACAGGTACACTAGTACTTACTGTATTACAATTAACATTACAATTACGTTTTTTGGACTACGTGTTCAGGAACATAATTGAACAAACGTTAACTTCTAAAAGAGCGTTTTTCATGTATTTACACACATGGTTTATAACCTTCACATACTTTATAGTTGTTTTTATGTATAAACTCTATTGTTGTCTATAGATAGTTTATCCCTAACAAATCTGTGAATGTGCATTATACATCTTTTATAATATCAACTCAACAGAGGTATAAACTACATCTCTTCCGTAAAAAAATACAAGAACCCACATTTGTTTTTGCAGTACTAATGTAACTAAATTTTAGTTTGTAATAATATTGTTTAAGATTGTACTATTTCCTACTGTATCTTACGCGAACCAGATAAATTATAGGTTTTTTTTAACTATATGGTTATTTCCACGATCTAGGAGCGTTTGCGGGACGCTAAGAGGAAAGAGTATCTTCTGAAGGACCGTCCTCCAGCTCGACAACATAGAGTTCACCCCTTCGCCTTCGAGCCAGCGACCACGGTCGACACTCAGCCCCTGACGCACAAGCAGCTCTTTGAGCCGGACCAGTTGCTCAAGACATTGCTACCTCGCAGGTAAGTAATCCAACCAACAAAAGTGTTAAAGGTATAACATTATAGCCTTGTTACTCACTAAGATCATAGATGTTAGGTTCGTATTGGAGTTCAACGAGAGTGTTGAAAGTATAACATGATAGCCTTGTTACTCACTAAGATCATAGATGTTAGGTTAGTAATGTTAGAATAAGTTATCATATGATGTATCTTCTTGTAGAAAATGTGCCATGATTGATAATTTTCCTACAGTTACCTGACAAAGTGGGCCTCCTTGCACTGATTACAGCACGCAAAGTAGCTAATTGCTGCATTTACTTACTTTGACCGCAATATTTTTACTGTAGCCGCACTCTTTTTACTTTTGTCGCACTCCAGTATTCCAACCAAACAACACAAAACAGCGTGCATTCATTAGGCACGTAATACGTGTACGCTTGAAAATAAATTGACAACACTTAAAGATACTACGACTACGATCAGTTTCCCATTTTGATCCATGTTTAACATAATCTAAAAGCGTGTTGTACAGTGTTTGAAAGACTAATTATTTATATGCTTTATAGCAACTCACAGGTAATAGACCACATTGGTCTAATGGTCTATAATCTGTGAGTAACTCTAATATAATGTGTAACGCGAGTGCAAACTGCCTTTGCTGCACTCGAGAAACATTCCACACTCGCCTGCGACTCGTGCGTAAACATGTCTCTCATGTGCAGCAAAGTGCCACTTCGCACACTAGTTACACAAATAACTATTGTACCCAATACCCGTCGCAGTTGCTACAACACCAACGCAACATTGTGACCGAGTGAGATGGTGTAAGGATGATAAAACGGTAGAAATGCGTAACCGCAATAGGCTCGAAGAAAAATAGTAAAATCATCAGCCATTGGGTGATAGGATACACCAAAGTAAAATGCAATATTCTCTACGATTAGCTGGTTTTTCAGCCAAAATAATTTATTAAAGGCTTCTTCCAATAAATTTTATTTAAAATCCGAATATTCACATACTTTGAACATATATAGAACATAAAGTCAATAGCAATGCTTTGGCATAATGGAGCAATTTATAACCTTTCCATTGTAATAGCTAGGTGGGTATCAAACAGGTCACTGTATTCTAAGTGTGAAAACGACGTCGTCTTAAAAAATGCACGATTTACTCTGAATATTGAGTGCCTTAGAAAATGACCGTATAAGCTAGAGTTTCCTCTTGTATCCGAATGGGGGAATAATGCTATTGAGCTACATTGTAAAGGATATTTAAACACCTGTCCGCACTCCCTTACTTTCTAATGACAAAACTTATTGTAGGCCTATTATGTTCAAACATAGTGTTTATATACTTGTGAATGGATGTGGATTTGAAATAGTAATGAAGTTATACAACAGTATTAAACATTTATATAGGAGTATAGGCCGTGGGCAGGATTTTTATGATTGGTGGCCAAAAAATGCCCACCATGTTATTCTTATGGGGAAAACGTGTCTAAAGTGAGGTCATACCCGTAGTTTGCCACTACTCAAACACTATACATAACGTTTTTAGGTTCAGCTGGCAACACAAATAGGTGCCCTAGAGAAAGTAGCCCCCGGTCCGTATCACTCAGCTATTTTGTCTTCGGCAAGCAATGTGCTCCGCGACTTGAGAAAATAGTTCCGTATGTTTTTTTTTTATTTGAAGTGGTTTCCGTGCCTTAAAAATACTTTAAAGGCATTTTCTTGTTTATTAAGATCATAGGAATGTTTTAAAAACGTTAAAAAGAAAAGTCCAGAAAGTTCAGAAATACCGAAACTATAAACACGAAATGACAGGTTAAATCGTAGTTATAATAGTCAATCAGCTGCTCATAGTATTATTATCTTTAAGCGTTGCCAACCTATTTCCAAGCGTACACGGATTACGTGCATAATAGAACCACGCTGTTTTGTGTTGTTTCGTTGGAATCCTGATGTGCGCCAAAGTATAAACCGTACGACAAAGTATTTAAATATGCTGCAATTAGTAGCTTTCTGTACTATAAACAGTACAAGGAAGCCAACTTGGGTGACTGTAGGAAAAAGATTTTACATTATAGCAATTGGGGTTTTAACTGATAAAATGGCTATGCAATTACCAATCAGGGGTAGCGGATTTCTACCCCCGGATATTTACCCCCATGAAAAAACGCCTACGTCATTTTGACGTCACGAGGGGCGGGGCCTATAAACGGTCGAGAAACAGCCCGCGACTGGAAATTTACCCCCAATATATTATCAAATAATCAACATGTAATTGTTTTATTATAAAGTGATTTGCCATAGCACGGAAATCTACCCCCGGATATCTACCCCCGGACATCTACCCCCGGATATTTACCCCCGGACATCTACCCCCGGAAATCTACCCGCGGACATCTACCCCCAGACATATACCCCCGGACATCTGCCCCCAGACATCTACCCCCGGACATCTACCCCCAGACATCTACCCCCGGACATCTACCCCCGGACATCTACCCCCAGTGGTTAAATCATAAATATCTGACCCCGGAATTCTACCCTCGGAAATCAACGGCTCTTCGGTCAATCATTGTCCAGTAATATCCAGTATAAAGCATGCGATTTGTCATTGTCTTGTTTAACATTATCTATCTTCCTAATTCAATAAGCTGTAACAGTCCTTTTTCACCCGACCTACTTCGCCGATTGTTACAATTGGGGTGTCATTATAAAGCTTAAGATCTTGCGCAGAGCAAAATGGTAATTAAAAAGGATATTTTGATTAGGACTTCAAAAGGTTGACCCCTAAGCCTTTCATGTTAATTTTCTATTAGAAAGACGTTTAAAAAAAGCGTTAAAACTATCCTTTTGATTGAAAATACACCATTTTTAATTTTTCAACTTTTCATCTTTCACAGCTGTTTGTTATTTCATAGATGTCGTATCCTCCAAACAAATTATTAGTATTTCATAGATTACTGGTAAACATTAGGAGTTAACTTGCCAAAAATGCAAAAAATTGGGGGTTTGAACAAAATTTATTTTAATTCAAAAGTAGTGAGGTCATATTTTAATGGCTTAAGACACTCGTGTCAATCCACCGAATCCAAAAAGACTATTTAAATCGAATCACGATCGATGCTCTAGTTTTTGAGGAGAAGGCCCCGTAAAATGAATGCCTTCTGGTTTCTGGTTGGTTTGAACAGACAAGACAGAAATTGAGATGAGGACTTGTTTTGGCTTCTTTAATGTATGAAACGTAAAAATGACCAAAAATATATATAATTTTGAGCAATGTTCATACTAAACTCTAGTTTCATTTAAATAAATTCGTAAACCCAAAAGAAGCATGAGGTAAAAATACCTTCCCTATCCCGAAATATCAAATTTTATTCTTTTACATTATTCACCGTTATTTCACAACCAGCATTGACAACCAGAACCAATCATAAAATATGTTTATGTTTTATTTTTTACGATTAATTATTTGTGTAAACAACTGGACTTTTTGGTCAATGTAAAACTCCGGATAGTGTCTAGGGATTATGCTATCTCGTATTACTAAAAGGTAATTGATAGTGAAAAAATTATTAATTCATTAATCAACCTGTGGCAGGCTTTTTATCAACATTTAATCGCATTTTTTACCACTAGTAATCAGAAAATAACCTCCTTCAGTGATAGGCTATGTTTTAAATTTCACGATCTGCGCTCGTACATGTGCCGTTAGCTATTAGTGTATGTGAAAATTGGTCAACCATTTAAATAACTGTCTGAAAATACCCAAATGCTTATGGGTTAAACTTTTGAAGCCCTTTATCAAAATATCCTTTTTAATTAACCTTTGCGTTGCACTGAATCTTAAGCTTAAAAATGACACCTAAATCAGTTACAGCTAAATTAATTGGGAAGATAGATGACATTAAACAAGACAACGACATATCACATGCTTAATACTAGATATTAGAGGGTAATTATTAAACGAAGAGCCATTGATTATTTTTATAAACCAATTACTAAAATCAACTACAACAATGAATATTGGCCGATACGTAGTGTAGCACGGGGGGTAGATTTCCGGGGGTAGATGTCTGGGGGTAGATGTCCGGGGTAGATGTCCGGGGGTAGATGTCTGGGGGTAGATGTCCGGGGGTAGATGTCCGGGGGTAGATGTCCGGGGGTAGATGTCTGGGGGTAGATTTCCGGGGGTAAAGTTCCGGTGTCAGGTTTATTAGCATTTTGATTAATTACAACTGTTAAGTAAACCGTGAAATGCGAGTTGATTGAATAAATAATAATTTATCCATCCTAAAAGTTCGTGGCCGGAAATCTACCCCCATACACGTGACGTCAAAGTGACGTAGGCGTTTTTTCATGGGGGTAAATATCCGGGGGTAGAAATCCGGCGACCCCTGTGGTAGTGCCGTTTACACAGGTGAACAATCATTTTCAGACAAATGGCTCTGTGTGAGGTACACCAGTACAACACAGAGCGTAGCATCGCTGAACCTGAATCCCTCGCCTTAGCTCAGCAGAGAAGCAAGAGTTTACCTCATCTGTTCCCATCCGACGCCGACGCCGACGTCGACGCCGACGTCAGTCAGCAGTATAGCCGGAGCTGGAACACCAACTGAGCCCCTGGAGCCACTGACTGATCTGCAGCCTGCCTCTGGACGAATCATGAGTCAAAAAATATTGTTCATACGTGTTCAGCTGCAACTAGGCGCGATTACGAAACATTTTTCTGTTTAAATCCCTCAACTTGTATTAATTGTGTGACGAATAGCGTGGCTATGCATTGCGACAAACTTTCACCACGTGGACGCACCCTGTTTGACTGGCTGGAAGGCTTTAATTAATATTTTTCCACCACAAAATATGTTTTTTTAACAAATGAGAACAAAATATAAAGACGTGTTACAGGTTTACTCTTAAAGCCAAGAGTGAATATTTTGATATTGGCCTACTTTGCTAGTAGAAAAGTTTTAAACTATAACACAGTTCAGGGCCGAGCTAGGACATAAATTCAACCTGAACATTTCCTTACTCGGCCCAGTGTGTGTCGTAGAACTTTACATTTGGTACTAGGGATGAGATATACAGTTCTATCGTAAAACTTAAATTATATATTTTGGTAAACTCTATTTTTGAGAAAATTTTTGTATTTTTATATGGCAATTTTTACAATAATTATAGTTGCATGAATTATTTTTATACATGCATATGATGGACTTAACTAAACATATGATGGATCTAAATTTAACTTGGAATTTTTTGAAGGGTCTATTTCAGACTAACCATTATTAAAAAGTGTGTTAGATATGTATACAGTTTGCTATTTTAAGAAAAATTTAAATGTGACACCAACACGTACACACACGGCTATGTGATAAACTTGCTCAATTCGTTTTATAAAGGTGAGATTTTCAAACGGGATGGCATTCGTTCTAATCGATTAAGATTTATACTGTTGTTTGCATTGACTTGACTCAATAATACACTCAACCAGCTCGAATCCATTTGAGACTTCATTAAGGACAATGGTTTGTGAACATGGATCTAAATTGACTATGTTTGGGTGTCGAATTAAACAAAAACCAATCAAAAACATTAATTTAATCAGACAAATATACGGGGTTAGGACGATTTTATAGCTTTAAAACTAAATGAGATATCTCAACCACATTTGGCATATCATTACTGGTAGTAAGCTACTTTTAGCGAATTTACCTAAAGGGAAGTATCTATTACTGTAGGGAATAAAGGGAAGTAGCTATTACACACACACACACACACACATATATATTATCCTACTAATATTATAAATGAGAAAGTTTGGATGTATGGATGTAATACATGCCATATGTGCCATGTGCCATGGGTCGTATTGCCATGTGTGTTTGTGACAAGTAAACGCGAAAAATACTGGTCGGATTGGGCTGAAATTTGGTATGATGATAGCTCACATTCCCGATTAACATATAGACGCATTCTTATCTCAAAAGTCCTTTCGGGCTTCGCCCCAGTGGCTCTGGAGTTTCCCATTTTAACCTTATGAGTAATCATATTTAAAAGGAATAAAATAATTTTGTCAGCTGTTTCAACTATCCAAGTTGGTTCTATGATATTGAATAGCATTAAAAAGTTACAAGGTTTACCAACAGGGTGCAGTACTATTATTTTTTTACATTTATGACATCTATTATATCCTATAAAGGCCACAAAGGTTAAATTTTGTTTTTAAAAGGCTTATGTGTAACTATTTTATCAACAGATGTAAAGATCAAAATGTTTCTATTTCGTGTTCTCTTCCCGTTGCAAAGCACGGGTACAACAGCTAGTGTTGAAAATGACTGTCTCTAGATGATTATTTATATATTAATTTAATTCATCAGATGTTTTATTTGTTTACATTTTGCAGTTAGTGCTTTCCTTTTGATTGATTGTTAGAAGAGTTTGTCTTGATTAGTTATGCCTGATTAAAATTGAAGTTCTTTTTGTTCTATGTTTTCTTGAGATTATTTAAAAAGTATACCCCTTTTAGAAGAATCAGTCTCGCGTTTTAACATTTGGCGACCGTGACAGGACAGTATGATGAGTGAAACTGATGTTAGAGAATTTAATAAGAACAAGAAAAATAGAACTGTTATTAGGGCAAACTTTTCAAGACTAGTGAACCATTTAAAGGATGAACTTACACAGGAAACGGTCACACTTAGATTAATTAAAAAGGTAGGTTTCAAACTGTAAGTATGATTTATGAAGAGTTAAAGAAATAAGACACAAAGATATCTGACCATTTATTTCAATTTGAGGAAAGTGAAGCAATTCTTGAAGAAGAAGTGTCTAAAGCTTATAGTTATTTGGAAACCTACAATCAAGTAAATGTTTTGGTACAAAGTAAGTTGAATGATTCTAGAGATTACGATTTGGTCAGTAGTGGTATTCAGCTAAGAGTGGAAGTTCAAATTTAAAGACTAAGCTTAGACTTCCCAAGATTGAACTAGTACAATTTAGTGGGAATCTTAAAGAATGGCTTTCTTTTTTAGGGGAATTTTTAAGAGGATAGATGAAGATCCCTCTATTGATGATGTTGATAAGTTCCACTATTTAGTTCAGGCCACTATTCCAAATTCTAAACCGAGACAAATTGTAGATAGCTATCCTGCTACATCAGAGAATTATAGAGATGCTATTCAGAGTTAAAAAGTCGTTTTGGAAGGGATGATCTTTTGATAGAAGTCTATGTTCGAGAACTTTTAAAGCTGCTACTCAATAACTTCAGACAAAAGGTAGTGATTTCGACTTTATTTGACAAATTAGAATGTCAAATCAGAGCTCTTGACACATTAGGAGTAACTACTGATAAATGTGCGGCTATTCTTTACCCATTAGTTGAGTCGTGTTTGCCAGAGGATCTTTTAAGGGCGTGGCAACGTCATCCCGACTTTGATCCAGAAGCTGATTTGAAGAATAGACTCGATGCGCTTTTGAAGTTTCTGCGAATTGAAGTGACAAATGAGGAAAGAATTTCACTTGCTACCTCAGGTTTTGGGGACTCGAAGAGACAATTGGGTAAGTCATCCAAACCATTCTTAAGAGACGAAATGGAATCAATACCAATTGCAGCCGGACTTGTCAACCAAAAGGTTGGCAAACCCCCTATGAAATGTATTTTTTGTGGTGAAAAACATTTGACAGAAAATTGTAAGAGTTGTAGTAATCTGACACATTTAGAAAAGGTAAACCTATTGTCAAGTAACAGATGTTGTTATCGTTGCACAAAGTATGGCCATGTTAGTAAGAAGTGTCATTTTCGACTAAACTGTTCTCTTTGCAATGGTCGACATGCAACAGTAATGTGTAACAAGTCTCAAGATAAATCTAATGTAAATTATGTTAATGATAACACTTTAGTACGTTGTGAAAGTAATTAAGCTAATAATGCACACTCTGAAGTATTTTTACAAACTGTACGTGTGAATATTAGAGGAAGTAATAAAGAACGAGCAGCACGTGTCATTTTTGACTCTGGTTCTCAAAGGTCCTACATTTTGAAGAAAACTGCAGAAGAAATGGGATATGTATCATTTGGAAAGGAAACCCTTTATCATGCATTGTTTGGTGGATCAGTAACAAATGCTGTTGAACACAATCGACATAAAGTAAGGTTAAGTGATTTGGGTAACAATTACCTACTATTGCAACTTTGAGGTATTAGATCAAGATGTGATATGTAATAATATTTCAGAAATCAAAGCGGGCCCTTGGATAAACGAATTACAGTCTTTTGGTTTTAATCTTTCTGACACTGTAGAAGGGCCAATTGAAGTTTTGATTGGATCTGATATTAGTGGAAAGTTGTTTACAGGGAAACGTCATGTTTTGACAAATGATTTAGTTGCAATGGAAACCTTATTTGGTTGGGTGTTAATGGGGAAAGGAAAAGTAAAAGGAGTGACATGTAGATCAAGTGTAATGACTATAACATCTTTGTTAACACCTATTTCTGACAAGTGTAGTGTAGACATTCCTAATATAGAGGATCCTGTAACTGTCAAGATGGAATCTGAAAATAATAAGATTTGTGAATGTGATGAAGACGCTTTTGGATATGAATTTAAAAAGTCTGTATCATCAAGTATAGCAATTTTGAACTCAGAAAGTTCAAACAAAAAAGAAGTAGAAGAAGTGCAAGATAAAGAAAGTTCAAATGGAAAAGTTGTAAATAAAGTTAAATTTAGAAAACGAGGAAAACAATTAAATTAAGTTAACAAAAAGACTGAACTTTTAATATGATAATATGTGTTTTGAGTCTTTAAATAATGGAAACTTAAGACTCAAAAGATGGGAGTATGTTGAAAATGACTGTCTCTAGATGATTTTATATATTAATTTAATTCATCAGATGTTTTATTTGTTTACATTTTGCAGTTAGTGTTTTCCTTTTGATTGATTGTTAAGAGTTGGTCTTGAATAGTTATGTCTGATTAAAATTGAAGTTCTTTTTGTACTATGTTTTCTTGAGATTATTTAAAAAGTATACCCCTTTTAGAAGAATCAGTATCGCGTTTTAACAGCTAGTATGCATATTATGTGTGTGTGTTTGTGAACACGATAACTTGAGTAATTTTTGTCCGATTTTGATGAAATTTGGTTTGAAGGCTTGGAGGTATAAACTTGAATGAGTTCACGAACCATCATGATCGGACCATGGGAACAGGGTTTTATGGTATAAAAATTGGGTTTTCTAATTTTTGACCCTCCAAACGCAAAATTTCCCAATTTCTCTCCAGACCTTTTTAAAGAGCTTAAAAACAAATAATTCAGTATATCAAAGTGTTTTTGTAGCTATTGGTTACGGAGAAAATTTAAAACAAATTATTTTGAAATTCCCATGTTACTCAAGACAGTTATAATAAGAAATGACAGCTGTTAAAAGATTCATTGAATTTGCAATACATTCTTATGCTACCTCCTCAGGATGCTAGCCCGCTATAAAATTGAATAAAATCATAAACGTTGACATAGTCAATATGAACAAAAAAGGTCTTTGTTAGTACCTAGCACACAATTCCGAAAATTCGAGTTCAAAAGAATAACTGAGTAAACAATTACATCCATTTTAAAGATT